GGGCCCCCCTGGTCCCTGCTTGGATCCCCTTGTGCCTACCCAAACCCCGCTCGCCCCTCTCCGTCCTGTTCATCCCCTGCCTTGGGAAGCAGCAGAGAAAGTGCGTAAAGAGAAGGAGGAGAGGCTGCAAAGAGACCGGCCCCCCCCGGGGCCAGGACTCCAGGGAGCCCAGGCTTTGGTGCTTTGTCCACCGAAGGCGCCTGGTCACCCCACGTCTCCTGCACCGAGCACGAGGTTGCTGTTTTTAACCATATTTGCCCAAGCGCGGGCTGAAACGGCCGGGGGGAGAAGGGCTGGGCAGGGTCCGCGGCGGTGCTGCAGCAGGGGCGCGCTCAGCCCCGTGCCCCCCTGCTTGGCTGCAGGAGCGGCGAGCAGAGCTTTCCCTGCCGTGGGTGGGAGCCCCACACCGTCCCACTTCCCGAGCGAGGTGGGAGAGGGCAGTCGAGCTGCCTCGCGGTGCTTCCGGAGGTCTTGGTAGCAAGCTGATTTTTCTGCGCAGATTTTAGGGGGCAGAGCCCTGCTCCCCTGCCTGGAAGGCAGAGCTGTGTCGAGATGGGAGAGGGCAGAGGGTCAGCCCCCTTGCTGCACACCCGCGGGGGGCCCAGCCGCCCCACAGGTATGGTTTGGACCTGGCTCTTCATCTCTGCTCCAGCAGAGGCAGGAGATGAAGAGAGGAAGCAACAGGATAGGGATGTTCACCGAAGTCCAGGGAAAGGGTTTTGTGTGTATGGAAGAGCCTCGTGTTATCCCAGACCCTCCCTGCCCTGCTTGTTTGAAAACTGGGTGCTTTTAGGCAAAGTATTTACATGGTGGGAAGGGGAAATTCATCCTCTTAGCAGCTGAACGCAAAGCACGCGGCACGTGGGAGCTTGGAAACTCTCCGCGGCGCCTGCGATCGTGGGCTTTCCTTATGTGGTGCTCCGCCGCCGGCATCCTGCAAGCTGCCGGAGGTGGATCCCGGGAAGCACCCTTTCCGCCCGCTGCGCCCGGCTGGGGCGCCCCCCGCACCCGCAGCCGACGCAGCAGCGGGACCGCGGGTGCTGGGTGTCCCTGCCTCCTCGGGGCAGAGGGAGGCGGAGGAGCGAGCGGCTGAGTGTTTCCACCTGGGAAGAGGTAAAAGTGCAGCTGTGGGAGGCTTCCTGTGCCCCTGGGAAGAGCCTGGAAGGGAGGGCTGAGGAAGGAGCTGATCAGAGAGCAGCTTCCCAGCCCTGGGGAAAGCGGAGCCAGGAGAGGGCTGTGTGAGGTACCTGCTCAGAGGGGAGCAACGTGTGTGTGTGTGGGACATGCCTGGGGCCGGGTTGTGATTGCTTTGGAAATGTTCACTCTCCTGAATTGCCTTTTTTTTTGCATCTGGCCAGTTGCACTGTGTGTGGTTTGGAGGCCCGTGGGCTGTGCTGGGAGCAGCCCTGGGGAAGGGTCTGGGCTGTGGAGCAAGGGTGGAGGAGGAAGGGGGTGCAGGGGGAATAGCTAATGCTGAGGAGGCAGCAGAGACTTTTCTTTTTCCTGGGACTGCCTTCCTATGGACCCTCCTGTGGGAAGGAGGTTACTGAAGGGAGCAGTGAGCAGGATGAGCCTTTTGCAACCAGTCTGCTGACTTTAATGCAGTTAGGAAATGCTCCTGGCATGCAGAGAGGAGCATGAGCTGTGCATTGCCTCTCTGCTCCTTGCAGCCTGAAAGTGTTGTTAAAGAGCCTGTGAGGATGGACCTGGGAGCGTGCTCTCCGGCGGGGCTGCAGGCAGGACACCCCTGTCCTGTGCACGGATGCACCGCTATCCTCGCAAGAAAAAATGTGGAGGGTGCCGAGCCCCCTCTTGCCAGCTCCCTGGGAGGACGCGCTTGCGCTGCGTTTGGCCGTTTTCCACCGGGCTCGGCTCTCCAGGGCGGCTGGATAAAGGGCTCCCTGTTTTGGGTACGGCTGATCAGACCCAACGTCTTGCAAAGACACTAACGGGCTGTTAAAGCAGTCGGACGTGGAGGGAGGCCAGCGAGGGAGCTTTGCTGGCTCCTTTTGGTTATTTTTCAGACGCCTGTCTTCTTCTGTGTTAACGTGCTGGTTCCCAGGGCTGCTGCGGGTGTTTGAGGTCTGTGGGGCTCGTGGTGTGTTGAGGTCTGGGGGTGCCGTGGAAAAGCTCTGCACAGAGCTTCCAGGGTTATGGGAAACGGGCTGAAAAGGATCCTTTGCTCTGGGAGCTACAGGTTCGTTAGATGCAGTAAAACTAAACTTTTTGGACAGCAAATGTCAGCGATGTTTTGCAGCTGGAACTTCCAGCCCCTGCCCTTAATTTTTTGAGCCTCGATTGTAATGGGATGAGATGCCCCTTTCTGGGGAAAAAACAGAGCCAACCAGTTGGGTGCATTGGCCTTGCACCTCAGCCAAGGTGCTCAGCCCAGCCTGAAGCTCAGGGGTGTCAGAATTGCTTTAGCCCATGAATTCAGCCTTTTTTCCTCCCCAAGCAGTTGGTTTCCTGAATGTATGTGTTGCTTCATGGTTTAACTTTATTCTAGTTGCACAGTTCCCTAACGGGTCTCCTGAATCTGAGCCATTCTGTCTGCTTGGGGCTGGTGAGAAAGGTCAGAAGAAGACGTTTGCACAACACGCCCCGTGCTGTGCCGTGGCGCTGGCACGCAGACACTGTTCACGCAGACTCTGGGTGTGGGATTTTGAAACTTGCTGCTTGCGCTTCATGCCAGTAAATTCAACTGCGTGAAAGAGGATAGAGAAGAGACTGACAACCGCGGCTGGGGAGAGCCGGCTTTAAGCCCTCTAAGGGGTTGGAGGCAATCATAAAGCTTGCAGTGGCCTCGGGTTTGTTGCAAAAAGCCCAGCTGTGGGCCTGTTGCGAGGGCGTTATTCTGGATCTCGGGCCATTGCACGGACTGCTGGCTGTGAGCTGTGTGCCTGGAAATGGTTTGGAAGTGGATGCTGCCTTCCCAAAACAGGCTGCTTCTTGGGGGAGAGCCCCTGCGGGTCGCCCCAGCCTTGCGGGGTGAGGCTGGCGGGGTGCCCCACGCAGCTGCGTTGGGTCCCCCCGTAGGGACCAGGCAGCGGGTTGCAGGTGGGGCGGTGGATAAGAAGGATCGCTTCTGCTTTCTGACACTTTCCTTCTGCGGTGACAAATGGCACGTATTGCTGCCAGCTTCCGGCCTGTATTTCTGGCCCGGTGAGAGTTGCTGCTTCAACCTGAGCCCCCAAACATCTGCTGAGCTGAGCCCTGGTGCAGGGCGCATGGCGCAGCGGAGCCCGTCTGCGGGTTGCTCCGGGACGGGCCGAGTGCTCGGCGAGCTCCCCGAGACCGACGGAGTCACGGCTCTGCCTCGTCCCGGTCTCTCTGCCAGGGGCCTCCTCGCTGCAACGTGTCCCAGCCCCGGGGAGAGGAGGCATCCGAAAGCCTGGATCTCGGTGTGTGCTGGCTGCGATGTCCTGTCCCAGCTTCGCAGCTGCCTCCTCCCGGTGCCATGGGCCAAAGCCAGACCTCAGGACCCCTCTTCCCCCCTTTGCGGGTGTTAAAATCCAGGTCTGAGTTCTTGGAGCTGAGACAGTCCAATGAAATGGCCTGGGACAAGGTGGGGGTGCATGCATGCAGAGAGACGTGGCTAGGCGAGAAGCACAGGTCCTGCAGGGTTGGGAGGGGACTGCACGTAGACCAGACCCCCTGCCATGAGTTTGTCCATTCTCTGCCGCCCTCTATTTAATCTGTCCTCTTGCAACACAGAAGCACGCACGTACATCCCCAAAGGGGACTTATTACAGCACTGCTGAGCTGAATGTCTGGCAGGATTTCGGCCCCATACTTCTCTGCTCCCGCCTGTTCCTCCCTTCCCCCAGCAAGATGCCAGAGCTCTGATTGAAACCAGCAGGCGTGTGAGGCTTGTAGGGTTAAACGGAGCCAGATGGGAGCGGAGCGAAACAAAAAGGAAAGTCGCAGGCTGGGTCCGGAGGGTGAGAACAGGATCTCTTCCAGGAGGGAGCCGGTTGCTTCGAGCCCTGGGAATGCGAGAAGCTGCTTCAAAGGGAGCTGGGCCGGTGTGCCACCGGGAGCTGGGGTCCTGCTGGAAGTCCCTACGGGCATCTCGGGGTGGCATGCAGACCACGGTGGGTGGCAGCACCAGGGTGGGAAGCTGTCTTGGGAGGGTCTGGGCTGATGCCCTTGTGGGCT